CTCCTGGGGGGGCGGCTGGGCCGCGGTGCTGGCGGGGGGCATGGTGAGCGGCGTGGCCGTGGCGGTGACGATGGCGCCCTTCGACGTGGTCAGCACCCGTCTCTACAACCAGCCGGTGGACGCCGACGGCACAGTAAGGCCATTCGGTAAAAGACGGGGAGAACACACGGCTTTTCCCAGGATTGCATCCGGCAGGGGTGCGCAGCCGGCTCCTCTCTCCCCAGGGCAAGCTCTACCGGGGTTTTTTGGATTGCATCCTGCAAATCTCCAGCAAAGAGGGGCTGCTGGGCTTGTACAAGGGCATCGGCGCCGTCTACCTCCGCCTCGGCCCCCACACCGTCCTCAGCCTCTTCTTTTGGGACGAGCTTAGGAAGATGGTGCAGCACCAGCAGCCCCCAAGGCCGTAGGACGGGCTCCCGGCCCCGCCGCGGCCGTTAATAAAGGGGTTTTTCTATTTTTGGCGTCGTTTCGGGGTCTTTGGGGTAGTGCTAAGAGCGGGGGGGGGTGGTGGTTCATGCCCTGCAAAGCCGGGACCTGAAACGCTGCGATGCATCAGGCCAGAGAGGATGATGGCAATCCGCCCCCCGGGGCAGGGGGATTAAAGATGCTGGTGGTCCCCGAGCCCCACCATGTGCATCCCATCACTGCATCCCTCTTGCCACCTTAATTTTCACCTCCACTGGGCAGCTGGAGCCCTGGCCAGAGCAGCTGAGCCCCAGCTGCCCTCGCTTGTCCCAGCAATGATTTACTAGCCAGGGGGGCCGCTCCCAGCCTCCACCCCGTGGACCTTGGAGCCGGGGCCCGACTACGCCGGGGTTCCTCTCCACCGAAAATGTTTTCTCCGACGTCCTGGCTGCCAGCGTTGCCCGGGCTGGCGTGGGGCTGGGCGCTGCTGGATGCGCTCCTGCAAGGTGAGAGCCCCCGGGGGTGGCATGGGGACGGCTTGGGGACATCCTGGGGAACGCCGGTGACCCGCTGCTGCCTTTTCCCCACAGGGTTGGTGGGTGCCTGCGCCGTCTCGGTGCTCTGCAGCCTCCTGAAGGTTTACCTCTACATCCAGTGCCTGAAGTAAGCACCAGCTCTTCTTCCCCCCCGGGGGGATTTCTTTTGGGGATCTGCTTTTGGGATCCACTATTGGGGAGGCAGCTCTCAGCACCCATGGGTGCTAGCGGTGGCCTGAGCAGGGCAGGGGCTGCACCCTCCTCTCTCCACTGCAAAGCACAGGGGAGGTCTCCGAGGCTGTCACCCCATTTTGGGGTGGTGGAGGAGGAAGGGGACATCCCGTCCGGCTCAGCGTCCCCCTTGCTGTCCCCAGCAACCCGGAGAGGCAGGCGAAGAAGGAGGCGATCCAGGCACAGCAGTGGGTGCTGGAGCCGCTGCACGTGGCGGTGCTGACGGGTGTGCTGGCACTGGTGGGCTCCCGCGTGGCCGCGCTGGTGGTGCTGGAGTTCTCCCTGCGTGCCGTCTCCACCATCCTCTCCCTCGGCAAGGTGAGACGGGACAGGGGAAACTGAGGCACAGTAGGGCAGTGGTGTGGAGGGAGCCATGCAGTTGTGCATCCCTTGCAGATTTGCAAGGGGATTATTTTGCAACCGTGCATCCCCTTACAGATTTGCAACAACTATGAGGGCTATAGGGGCTGCAGCATGGAGACCATGCATCGCTCTGCAGCCATGCATCCCCTTGCTGCTTGCAACACCTGTGGGGTTACGGGGGGGCTGCAGCGTGGAGAAAACCATGCATCACTTTGCAGCCGTGCATCCCCTTGCTGCTTTGCAACACCCGTGGGGAGGACAGGGGAGATGGCATGGAGAAGACCATGCATGGCTTTGCATGCACGCATGCATGCTATGGGGTGGCTTTGCATATACCCCCAGGATGCCGCATACGGCCCCTATACCGTGCACCCCCTTGTTGCTTGCAACACCCGTGGGGGCTACAGGGGCTGCAGCATGGAGGAAGCCATGCATTGCTTTGCAGCTGTGCATCCCCTTGCAGCTTTGCAACACCCGTGGGGAGGACAGGGGAGACGGCATGGAGAAGACCATGCATGGCTTTGCAGTCGTGCATTCCCTTGTTGGTTGCAACACCCATGCAGGTCATGGGGAGGCTGCAGCACGGAGGAAGCCATGCATCGCTTTGCAGCCATGCATCCCCTCGCTGCGTTGCAACCTCCGCAGCGGCTGACGGTGCCGTCCCGCTCTCGCAGGGCGCCCACAGTAGCCAGCTCTACCTGCTGTGCCAGTACTCGCTGGGCTGCGGGGTGTCCTGCAGCCTCAGCTTCTTGCTGGAAGGGGCTCCCCACGGGACCTGCAACCTGGCGCTGGCAGCGGGGCTGGCGGGGCTGCTGGCCACCTACGCCCGGCGCCTGGCTCACCACATCTGCACCCTCTACGAGCTGCACAGCCGAGCACGTTACTGCGGTGTCTGCATCCTCCTCCTCGCCGCCGGTCATGGCATCCCCCGGCTGCTCCGGAACGCTTTGGCCATCACCTTTGCCGTGGCTGACCTGGCCGCCGTGGCGCTCATCAACCAGGATTTCCTCTCCACGGCGGAGGCCGTCCGCTTCTGGACGCCGCTCACCATCTGCTACACGCTGCTGGTCATCTACATGCAAGGTGAGAAGGGGACTGAACCCCCAATTATAGGTTTTTTTTTGGGAGGGGGGGGGAGTATGTCCCAGTATGGGACATTCTGCAGCTGTATGGGGGCACATGGGACATCCTGGGGGTGTATATGGGGCAGTATGGGGCATCCTGGGGTTATATGGGGCAGTATGAGGTATCCTGGGGCTGTATGGGAGCACAGGGGGCATTCCGGGGCTGTATAGGGGGTATATGGTGCATCCTGGGGGTATATGGGGCAGTGTGGGGCATCCTGGGGCTGTACAGGGGCACATGGGCTGTCCCAGGGCTGTATGCAAAGCCACCCCATAGCATCCCTGAAATGCACGGCGTCCCCCGGTCATGGGGCTGGGGAGGGGACAGGGTCCCCCCTGCGGCGGCCGCCCCGATGCCACGTCCTTGCAGAGGAGCCGCGGCAGAGCACCGGCGGGCGGGCAGGTTTCCAGGAA